TGACTACACCCACCAAGCCAGCCTTGCCAATACTCATCTCATTCAAATGGTGCAGGGATTTTAAGATCAATTATTACAAATGCTCCTTACTGCCATAGGAAGGAAGGAGGCAGGTAAATGGCCACCCAACCCCCAGGCAACAGCAAGAACACTTTGTTTAACCTTCTGCCTTCTGCAGCTCCAGGACCTCCATGGTCCTCCAGGATGTGGGGTGGCCAAGGCCACAGAAATGGCTAGAAATGGATTTTAGGGAGTTGCTGCCTCCTTCTCAACTGTTTCCTGGGGTCCCGTCCCAAAGGGCTGACTTCAGATGTCAGTGAGGCCAATGGTGACAGTGATGTCTGGGAAGCTTGCAGAAGAAAGGACTGAATCCTAGGTCCCAGGTGTAGGTGTGGGCCTAACGAGTGGCTCCTCCCCTGGCTGCGTATCACTTCAGCGTCACCAGGTGACCCCTTCCCCCATCTGGGAAGGAAATGCTGAGGAAGGAGAGAGCTGCAGACTACAAGGCCCCCCAAGGGCTGGAAAGGCGGGGACAGCAGGGGGCGCCCTTGTTGTGCACACAGTCAGGGAGGAGGTGCCCACAGCACCCCAACCAGCACACGTGTGCTTCCTACTTTGGAAACTTGCCTGGAACCCCAACCCACCCACACCTGGGGGAGATACATATATGCCACTGCCTCACCTGGTGTGTCAGAGGCCAGAATTAGGGTGTAAAAGACCCTCTCAAGGCCTTCAGCCCCACCCCACGCCAACTAGTTCCATTTCCAAGAACTGGGAAGAGGAACTTGAATCCATGGTGTCCTTTCCCACACTGGGGTGGCCCTATCTTTCCAGTGGGAAGATGTCCACTGCAGTGTTATTTATGGTGGGAATTAGGCTGATAACACAATCTGATTACATGGCAGAGGCTTGAAGTGACAGTTGCAAAGATAAAAAAGCAGAGCACTAAACTATTGGCCACGTCATGAGTGCGTCAGCATGCAGAGAGGGAACAACACAAGGGAAAGAAATGTGGGTGGAAGTGGAACAGGTGAGAGCTTTTGTTTTGATTTTCTTAAAAATGAGTCAAATAGTTGCCTCTGGGAGATGGGTCAATGGTGATTTTCCCCCTTTCCTTTTTAATAGATGTTCTACAAGTAACTGGAAGAAGTTGGGGAATCAGTAGCAAAGAAGTAAACACACACACACAGTCCTAGGGAGAAGCCTGGTCCGCTAAGACTGCTGCCTGGTGTTTGTTCCGAGGACATCGCCTAGGGATCCACTCCTTTCCTCCCCATAGACCCCCCTCTTTACCTTCTTGAGGGGTCCTTGGGCCTCACTAACAGGAGGCAAATAAACAAACCTGGGATTTTCCTAGGCAGCTCTGGTAGAGTCTCCTACTGGTGTGAATGTGGGCTCATAGGCCTAGACATGGGAGGGGAGCAATGAGCTTAACGGTGGTGGGGGGTGCATTCCTAAGCTTTCTGAGTGGCAGGACCAGCACAGGAGTCCTCTCCGCCACTGGGTGGTTGCACCTGTCTTATTAGTGGTGTTATTGCAAAAGATTTCAGGGAGAGAAATTACTGCCAAGCCCTCCACCAAGGAGGCCTCTGTCCCATGCCAGAGACAGCCTGCTGCAGCTCTCTCCATGGCCTGACTGCTTTTCTTGGTCCCCAGGAGTCTGTGCAGTCCAAAGAAACAGGGCAGGCAGAAAGAGGAGGGGCCGGTGAGTGCTGCGTTTCCAGGTGCTGGCAGAAGAGCAGAATGGCAGAGGTCCAAGCTGGGGAGTGGTGGAGCCAGGCCTCGGATTAAACCTTGTTCTGTGTGGGGATTTAATCTCGGCATCCAGGGTCACAGAAACTGGAACCTTTGCAAATCCTTCCCTGAATCATCTGCTAATCAGAGGGTGGGGGGAGCAAGGACAGAGAGAGGCTGGGGCTTCCAGGGCAGGTAGTTGTTCATGAGAATGCTATGGCAGGACGTGAACCCTGGGAGACAGGGATAGCAGGTCGGGGTTCAAATCTCACCTCTGCTCTCTCCTCTCTGGGCTATTTGGGCAAGCCACTGGCTTTCCTGGGGCCTCAACAAAGTAACAGAGGATTCCTGATTGTCCACCTGCTGCTTCCCTCCCCAAATGGTCCCAACAGCCACGGCTGGACCAGGCTGAAGCCAGGAATTCCATCAGGATTTCCCACGTAGGTGGTAAGGATCCAAGTACTTGGGCCACCATCTGTTTTCTCCCAAGAAGAAGAGGCAGGGCTTGATCCCAGGCACTCCAACTTGGGACATGGCAGGTACAGGAGATGGTTTAGCCCTTAGGCCACAAGGCTTGCCCCTCTCCTCCCCCTTTTGGTCAACCCCTACTTCTCCTGTAAGGCTGCTCTGTCTCACCTCCCCCAGGTGGCCGGGCCACTCCTCTGGGTCACTGCAATATTCTGTGCCCAGAGTGATGATTGTCCTTGTGGGAAGCACGTGGCTGGCTTTATTGAGCACTTAGCAAGGGGTGGGCTGTCCAGCAGGCCCTTTGCCCAGCACTAATTGAGCACTAACCATTCCTGGGTAAGAAAAGTGCTGTCTTTGTCCCCATTTCCTCCACCAGGACAGAGAGGTCAAAGGTGGAGAGAGGTGAAGGGCAGGTTTTGGGTTGGGCCATGAACCCAGCACAATGTGGCCCCAAAGCCTGTTCTGCTCTCCCACTTCACATTCTGCCTGCCATTCTGAGCATAAGGCACATCAGCTTTCTATCTAGAGATCAACCCTCCTGCTCACCACAGCCTCCTTTCACTCTGCCCTGGCCTGTCAGGGTCCCACTAAGACTCACTCAAAATCTCACGTGGTCAGGCCATGCAGCTGAGGCTCCCTTACCAGCCATAATGTCCAGGGCTCCTCCCACCCAATTTCACCCTCCGCCTGCCAAGGTTAAGGTTTACTTTCATATTTACTCCTGTCAAGGGTCAGATTTAATCCAGGTAAGGAATCTGTTTAGAGATCATGGTCACATGTGCTGTGATTCCAAGCTGTGAGCCAGCCACCCTCAGACCTTAGCTCAATGAATCCCCATGCCGAGAGATAACAATGTAATTCCCACCCACTGATAAGAGAAATTGAGGCTGGGCCAATAGCACAGAGCATGTGGGTGGAGCCAGAAAAGTATGACTCCAAAGCGCTTCAACTTCCCCACTGCCCCCCCCATCCTGCTCCCATTCTGGTTGGGCCTATGGGTTCATCTTTGCGTGGGCCACAGGCTATGCCCACCAGCATCAGATATAGGGTTGTGAAAGTCCATGCTGGGCCGCTCTGGCACACAGCAGGTTCCTAACAACTATTTCATGGCAGAAGTCAACAGGGTAGAGGTGATCACCCTGGCTGTATAAATGAGGAAGCTGCGGTCAGAGAGAAGTAACAAAGTGGCCTAAGGTCATCCCTGAGTCAGAGGAATAGCCAAGACTTGAACTCAGGACCCTGTGCACAGGGGACTTGGTGCCAAGGAAGAAGAGGAAGGAGGCTGCTGCAGCTAGGGCTGCTAGACTGGCATCTAGCATCTATCACCAGGATATCTGAGCATCTATCACTGCATTAATGATTCCCAATCAGGCTTGCCTCCCGCAAGGACACTGGGCTCCAAGCAGCCTGGACAGTGTCCCAGGTGACTGGTTTATGGCAAGCCTGCAGCTGGGCTGGTGGCTGGGAGATAAGCCTGGGAATGTGAAGACAAGAAGTGTGGAGGGACATCTCCCACCCTGCCTCTGTGTGACCCTGTCCTTGCAGTCCCACTATGCATCCTGGAGGAAGCTACAGGCCAGCACCTGTCCATTCAGGGGGTTCCCACAGCACCTACATCTCCATCCCTGTCTCCCCAAGCACACCCAGGATCCCCAATATCTCTGCCAACCCTCCTCTCTTCCCCTTCTGCTCAGGGGGCTGGCCTGGGGTCACAGATTTGCTTCCTCCCTGCTCCATCCCTCAAGGCCCCAAAGAGACATTTTTACAATCCTAAGAACACAAGCACTCACCAGAAAAAGTAGGAAAGAGTGCAGAATCTCTCCCCCCACTGTCTCAGTCTCCAGCTGGGGGACGGCCTGAGTTTTTTCTAAAATAGTATGGGCACCCCCCACACACCCTGCCTCTGTAGGATCAAAGCTCTCTGGCCAGGTTGTGTGATCCTGGGCCAGCAGGGGAAGGGGGGCAGTGCTGACCAAGGAGGAATCCCCTGGGCCTGGATGGTTCTGGGGGAGACCATTCCCTTTCAAAAGTCGCTAACCTGGGTTCAAAGGCAGGTAGGAGCTGAAAGATTGGCAGCGGATGAGGATGTGGCTGGATCAAAAACGTGGGGGGCTTCCTGTTTGGAGAGGGGCTGGGGTTCATGGCTGGGACCATCCTCCTCTCTCTTCCCCACCCCAGTTAGCGCTCCCCAAATTCCTGCGGGAGAACCTTCTCCCCTATAGGACACACTGTACCTGCAGAAGAGCAGGAACCACAGCCAAGAGACCAGGCAAGAGGAGGCAGCTTCCTGGGACAACCGAGCAAGGAGCTTTCCTTTGAGCAGATTTCTTGGAGATCCTGGCAGGTGGGAGAACTGGGGATCTGTTTCTATTCCAGGCTACTCTCATCTCTGGGGTTTGGGGTGGCCTCTGCACAACCAGGCCCCTCCCTTCTGACCCCATCTGTTCTCTCCCACTGAGCCCCTTACAATACCCACCTCCATGTTAGTCTGCCCGGGCTGGGCTCGGGCCGTCACAGGCACTCCCTTCTCCCCCTCCCCACCATACAGGGCAGTTTTGCTCCATGTTGAAGTAAGACCCAAGCCAGTTTGGCAGCAGCTTGGGAGGAAATGGAAGAAGAGATGAGTCCTAGAAAAGGAGCAATCTCAGTGTGAGACAAACACCCGAGCCCTCCTTCTGGCAAGCAGTGCGCAGGCCCTGGCGCACTTGGCGCTCTGGGGCGATTTCTACCGCACGCCGACCTGGGCCGTCGAGAGGACCCATTTCAAGATCCCTGCACAGTATGTTGGCGCCAAAACGATGATGAAAATCAGGGATCAAGGGCGCTCATCCCCGTGCAAGTACTTTGATGCTGTCGCTGCCTGTTCCTTAAGGTGGGGCCAGACTACTCTGTGGGTGGAGGGGCTGCAAGGTGGATGAGGGGGCCGGGCAGGGAGGGGACGGGGGAGCGCGACAGTTTCCGATCAGGGACTGGACGCAGGGAGGGAGAGGAGGCCCCGCCAGGGGGAGGAGCTGCCTCCCCGGTCCGCTGTCGGGGCTCGCTCTCACCCCAGGCTCCGCTATAAAACCCCGGGCCGGCATGATAGCCACAGTCCCCGCGGCATCTTCGGCGCGCGACCCTCCCCTGGGTGGCTTCTTTGCACCATGCAGCAGCTGCTGCTTGCGCTCCTGGCCCTCAGCGCGGTCCGACCGCTGGTCGGCCAAGATGAAGGAAGCGAAGGCGAAGGCGGAGGCGAAGGCGAAGGCGGAGGCGAAGGCGAAGGTGAGCACCCAGGTTTCTGCCCCAGGTACACCTCAGAGGCACCCCCTACTCCCCTTCCCCGGTGTCCCAGCCGAGGCTCGGCGGCCGGCAACTGCTCTTAAGATGCGGGCGGCTCGGGCAGCGGGGCCGGGGGGTTGCGCGAACTCTGGGGCGCACTCGGCGCGCCCGCCGGCGGGTGCGGGCCGCGGTGTGTGTGGCGCTGCGCGGTGGCCGGCGGAGAGAGCGCGGGAGTCAGTGGCAAGGCTTACAAAGCCCTGGCCCGCCTCGACCCACGCCTCTTTTTCTCACCCTGGTCCGGTCCGTGGGTGGCCGTCCGTCCTGCCCCAGCTCCGTGCGGCGTGTTGCCCCCCGCTCGGAGCGTAGGCAGCAGTGGGGTGCGATGTGGTCCTGGTTGCCTCCGAGGGTTGCACGCTCCCCTTGCCGTTCCAGTGCCCCAACACTGGATTAGGAGCCTGGCAGGGGGCGACGGAGACCCGAAGTCCCACCTGAGCCAGTGTTTCCGGACGGGGTGATTTTCGTTTAAAGATTAATGGTGAGGCCAGAGCTCTTAATTATTCGTCCAGGTGGGAGGTGGCAGGAGAGATGTGTTAATATTTGATGATGAGCCCAAGGCACTCGCCGCGGCTGGGCCCCTTCTCTGTGGCCCCACAGCGCTACCTAGGAGCGCCCCATCTGCCAGTCCCCCATCCACTCATCCTCCTAGGTTCAGGGTCCTTACGGCCCAAACCGCCCCTTCCAAGTTAAGTGTTATGTCCTTGCAGGTGGGGATTGAGGGGGTAAGGATACCCTAGGTGGTGGGGAGACACTTTGGGGAGGTGAGGGGTCCTTCCCTAGGGAAGTAGGAGTGAGAAAGGGCAGAATCTTCTTCTGACAGTGATTTCTAAAGACAAGTAAAACCTGAGCGGCTGTGAACACATTGCCAGGCTGCCGCCACTTGATCTGTTTTCTTATCTATAAAAAGGAATAGTGGTTCCGACTGCAGGTGTTGTGTTAGAGATTGGAATGCGATAAGGCCCGTCAGAGCTTCCTGCGGTGCGGTGCCTACCTGGCCTCTGCAGTTGCTCCCCACGCGCGTACTGCGTGAGGCCCCACCAGGCACCCTGGGCCAGATGGCCGGACGGGAGTCCAGCTGGGTGGACTCCCTCACACAAGCTGGGCTCTCCTTAGTGCCAGGGTTTTCTGCCTGTAACCTGTCTTCATCCTCCAGTTCATCCTGCCAGGGTTGGAGTGGGATGAGGCTGCACAGGGAAGTCCACATGTTCAGCATCTACTCCCCACCCCAGAGGGGGAAGAAAGAGGATTTGGCCCCTCTGGAACCCCAGACCCCTGGCCCGGCATGCTGAGACTTTGCCCAGAACACACTGGGTTTCGCTGAGCTGGCTTTAAGGATCCCCCTTCCCTCGGGGCGGGCGGGCGGGGTGAGCAAGGTCCATGGGGGAGAGAACAACTTCTGCCATCTCTTAAGGGAGTGTGGGGGGTGGAAAGGCCATTGATGGGGACTTGGGAGGGGGCTCGCTGGCAGGCAGTGGGTTTTAGGATTCTGGAGCTTTGAGCCAAGCCCTTGGGTAGCCACATTCCCTCTCTCTGCAGTTCAGTTGTTAGCTGCAGCCCAGGAGAGTGGACTGCTGGTATAAGGGGGCCCCTGGCACTTCCTGACGGGGCCGGCAGCACCCCACCCTCGTGGCACGGACAGAGACCTCAGCTTTGGGTTTGGCCTCATCATCACTGTGTTTTCCTGGCTCCTGAAGAGGGTAGTTACAAGTGCATTCAGCCAAGCAGGTCAAAAGTCTCTGTGATTAAGACAGTGGATCAGAGGTCACCACTACAAACCCAGGACCTGCAGCAAGAGCTAGGGAAGAGCAAATTCCTAGGTAAAGCTCAATCTGGACCAGATGGGCCCCTGGGGAGCTGGCTCCAGCAGCTCTGCTGGAGACTTCTGCAAGAGTCCAGAGGAGGGGCCTGCAGCCCTCAGGGCCTCTGTGGGAAGAGGGCCACAGCAGGGATGCTGTCCTATGCAAGTGACCTCCCTCCCATCCATCATCTCCCCAGTCCCTGGCGCAGGGAAGTGGGCAGCAGCATCTTCTGTCTGAAGGGGAACACGGGGAGGAAGAAAATGGAGATGAGCAGGCAGCAGAGCCCAAGTAGGGGTCTCTGCCCCCTAAGGGGAGGGGCCTGGATGGGAAATGGCTGCTTCGGGGCACTGCTGGCCTCCAGCTGCTGAGTTTCAGGGGATGAATTGTCCCTGGGAAGCCTGACAAAGGCTCCGCAGCAGGGGGGCTGATTTTCCGGGTCTAGGACCCTCCCCCACTCGATTACCCACATCCCAGCATTTCCCTGGCTCCTTCCCCCAACCTGTCTGCATTCCAGGGCCCCTTCCCCCCAGCCCAGACTCCAGAGCTGTTCTGGAGTCTGGGCTGGGGGCGCCCAGGCAAGCAGGGAGCCATGCATGCGCTCAGCCCAGGCTGCAGCTGCGCTGGGAGTGGTGCTTTTCTTAGGAATTTCCTCATTCCTGAGTTCTTTCCAGCTCATTGCATGATGCTCCCATGTCTGCCCCTGCAAGGCTGCAGCCATCTGCTCACCCACAGGCGAACACCAGAGAGAGGGGGCTGGGGACTGCAAGGCTGCATCCCAGGAATTTTCTGGGCACCAGTCTGCCTGGAACACTCACTGCCACCTGTCATTTACTCCTTATGTTTCCATGAGGTGGGTCCCATTTTAAAGATAATGAAATTGAGGTTATGGAGATCAGGGGACTTGCCTGTATCCTAAGTGGATCAGCAGAATCTCAAGCCCTGGATAAAATGCTTTGTTCATTCTGCTGCTGCAACTGCTTGCTTTTTTGTTTGTTCTTTTGGTGTTGAATTGATTTTTAATTAACAGACTCAGAGCAGTTTGGGGTTCACAGAAGAGAGCAGGAAGCATAGAGAGTTGCCTATGGCTCCCTCTGCCCTGCACACTTTCTTTTATTAGTTTTCAGGACCCGGGTGGGGACATTTGTGGTACAGCCTTTTTCTGCAATGCTGAGTGCAAATTCAGGCAAGAATGGGGCTTAGGGGTGGGGAGTGGGCTGCTCCGGGGAAGGGCAGCCTAAACTCCTCTGCCCTGCTCCCATCAGCCCTGGGAAGGTGACCAGGCACCCCAGGAGGATGGGCTGGGGTAATCTTCCTCTCCCTTCAGATTTGGAGGGGGGTGGGGAGTAGAGGGAAACAGGGGAGGCAGTTGACCAAAGGATGGAGACCATGTCAGACTACTGCAGCCTTGGAGCTGAGGGTCCCACAGAGACCTTGGTGGGTGGGTGGCTGCTTTGTCCCAGGGGCAGCAAACCAGGAGCCATGGGGGAGGGAACCATCCTAGGTTTTCTTATCAAGTCTACTTTGCCTGGATCCTCAGTCCTGCGCTCTCAGGAAGCTAACTGCACCTGACCCAAGGGACTTGGACAGTAGGAAACATCCTGAGCCATGCCTGAGCACTCACTCACACACGCACATGCCCATACACAGCTAACACATGTTGTGTCAATCTGCACCCACCGGGACTCCGCCCCATGCCCTGCATGCTCATACCCTCTCTTCCACAGAGTTACACTGGTGCTACACGATTCAAGCTGATTACAGTTCCTGCTTGGGTGAGTACAGCTGGTTGGGTGGGTGGGAGGTGGTGGTGGCCCCCAGTCCCTAACACCTACAACCCCTGTCTTCATTTGAGATTGAGAGAGAGAGAGAGAGAGAGAGAGAGAGAGAGAGAGAGAGAGAGAGACTCCCATCTGGCATTTGGTATTTGCAGCTGAAAAGGTGGAGAATTGGTCCCGCCCTTGCAGAGCAGGGTCCTGTTCAAATGCAACTCTGCTGTGTTTCAGCTGCTAACTTGCTGCCAATCTTGGCTCAGAACCTCTCCCCATCCCTTAGTCCTCTGCTAATGCTTGATGTACCCTGTGGGAAGCAGTCTTCCCCAGAAACCTTTCCCAGGGCTCGCAAGCCACAGCTCTCAAACCCGCTCCCATCCATCTCTTTCATACTTCAGGCTGTCCAAGGAAGCCAGCAAGCCCCACGGGGCTCAGAGCTGGACTTCTGCATTGATGAGGTTGCCCCTACCTGGAGTTCACAACCACTTGTGAGCTGGCCTCTTTCCTGCCCTGTCTCACGTCAAAGTCACTGGAGGATGAAGCGGGAGGCCCCAGGGTGGGTGAGGACAGGCTTGTGAGCTCCGAATGTCCCCACCATGCAGCCTCCCAGCCAATCCCAGCTTACATCTCCATGCCAGGTGCCCTGACTCTAAGCACCCCTCTTTACTCAGGCCCAGATGAATGGGAGGGATTCTGCCAGGAGAGCCACCAGTCCCCCATCAACATTGTCACCGCCAAGGCAGAGTTGGACCACAATTTGAAACCATTCGAATTCCATGGTTACGACCAGAAGAATGCATGGCCGGTGACAAACAACGGGCACTCTGGTGGGTCGCAGCAGGCTTGATGGAGGACTTGGGCAGGGCTTCCCCACCATTATTGAGGAGACGCCAAGGAGGAGGGAACTCTCAAGGTGTGACCTGTAGGGGAGGCCAGGCCGTTCCAGGAAGCAGGAACAACCTTTACAAAGGCATGGAGGCATGAAGCAGCCTGGCATGCTCAGGGAACTGCCAGGAGGAGTAGTTCCTTGTGGCGGATGGAGGACAGAAAGAAAGGCTGGAGCTGGGCCCAGGGGAGTGTCCCTGTACGGCTACCATCCTGGGGACAGCAGGATTCTGCAAAAGTGGGAGCTGCACGGTTGCAGCTGGGACTGTGGAGGGTATACAGGAGAGAGGGAGGCAGTGTGAAGGCTGAGCTGCAGTCCCACCAGCCCATCCCTGTAGGTCGAGGACTGGAACCCTTAGGCATGGGAGCAGGGATAAAGGTCCTGTCTGGGTGGTGCCAGAGGAGGAGGAACTGGAGGAAACTGGTGCAAAGGTTTCTTTTCCTGTCCCCACAGTGATGGTGTCACTGGAAGGACAGCCCTTCATTGAAGGAGGAGGACTGGATGCCAGGTACCAAGCCACGCAGCTGCACCTGCACTGGTCCTCGGGGAATGATGGCGGCTCTGAGCACAGCCTGAATGGGGAGCGCTTTGCCATGGAGGTGAGGGTCCCGTTCCTAACTAGGGCCTTGGCCCCCTCCGGCTCTGTACCCGTATGGTGCGAGAAGGCTGGTCCAGACACTCACACCCTCATATGTCCCATCTCTTCTTCCTGCTCCCACCAGATGCACGTGGTCCACCAGAAACAGACCTCAAGGAGTAACAACTCGGACTCAGATGATACAGCGGTGCTGGCCTTCCTGGTGGAGGTAAGCTTCCCACTCCATGTCCTAGGCCAGCTAGGCTCCAAGGGGCTGTGGCTTGATTCCCAAGATGGGAGGGGCTTGTGAGGCCCTAACTTCCTTCCTGTTTCCTGGTAGCTGTGCACCCCAAGGCTAGGTGGGAGAGCCTGGAGCCTCAATTCCAGAAGCTTCCTGTTGTGTTCCTCCCCAAGTCAGGAGAATGAACTGGGAGGGAGATGTTGCCACAGCTCCCTCTGTTCCCTCACAAGCCCCTTCCTTCCCATTCCAGGAGGGACCCACAGTGAATGAGGGCTTCAATCTCCTGGTGAATATTCTGTCTAATGTTTCCACCCCTGGTGAGTGCAACACACAATGGGTGAGAGTGGTCAGGCAGCTTCTTCCTAAGAGGCAGGGTATGGGGTCCTAGGGCTCCCCAAGGGGGCTCTGCCTGTACTCCTACCTCAACAGTGTCCTCCTTGTCCCCATGGCAGGCACCAATGCCACAGTGGAACTGAGCCTGTGGGACCTGCTCCCCGAGAAGGACGAGCTCGAGATCTATTTTCGCTACTATGGCTCCCTCACCACGCCAAACTGCACGGAGAACGTGGTCTGGACTGTGTTCCAGAAGCCCATCAGCCTCCACAAAGACCAGGTATGGGGAGCCCAATGCTGGGTACAGCCTTTTCCCTTTCTGGCTACCCCAGAAAATTGTTGTGCTGTTTGCCACCAAGGGTCCCCTGACATAGGATTGGGGGCCCCAGGAGCCATTCTGTGCAGACACATTCACTCAGGAGCAAGGAGAGCTTGGGCTGTTTCCTGGCTATAGCCACGCAAGGACTGACAGCTAGTGTGCTGGGGAGAAGTGGCAAGCAGGGGAGGGCATGGGGCTGGCCACAGCAGCAGAAGGAAGTAGTCTTTCATTCAGCATACTTGGCTTCCTCCTGGGGAGACTACAGGAAGCCAGGAGGGATCAACTTATTGAAACTGAATCAAACACTCTTGGAGGGTGGGGCCCAACATGTCCCCATCCCCTATCTGCCTGCATTTGAGACATGCTGTGATGGCTGTAGAAACAGCAGTTCCAGGCCCTTGCAAGTATGAATTAAGAGTAGGCAGCTCTTCTTCATTGAGGGTTCAGGGAAGGGAGCTGCCTCGCCCAAGGTCACACAGCAGGAGGGCAGTGCCACCTGGTTCCCTCTGCTGAGTCTTGCCCCTCCCACAGATCCTGGCATTCTCCACGAATCTGTTCTATGATGAACTACGGCAATACAACATGACTGACAACGTCAGGCCCCTGCAGAAACTGGGGGACCGCGAGGTACGCACATCTGGGGCGCCAGGACGGCTGCTGCCTTTGTCCCTGCCCACTCTGCTGGTCCCTACATTCTCCTGCCTGATGGTTGCTGGCCTCCTCTTCCAATGACCGGCTTGCTAACACACGGCTGACCTCTGATATCAGAGGGTATGGCCCTCTGTTCCAGAAGCTTCCTGCATTGAACTTCAGGGAATGATTAAAATATGAATATATTTTTGGAGAAAGCTCAGTTTTGTGTTTTACCTTCCTACAGACTACCACTCTCCCACTCAAATCCCACCACCCAGGGCAGAGGCATTCAGGCATGAGGTTTCTTGCTTGCACTACCAGGTGCCCCCATGTCCTGCCTTTGTAAATTCCCTGTCCACACCCAAGTCCCTTCTACCCTGACCTTGGAGTTCCAACACAGCCAAAGCCAAAGGATCCAAACCAGTGTCTTTATCCTACTGGGTGGGGAGAGAGGACTGAGGCTCCCAGAGGAGGAGAAGCTGGCCAGAGGCTGAGAGCTGGGACAGAGCCCACTGCGGCTCTAGTACAGTGTTGTCCCCTGTGACCTCAGGGTAGACAGAGGACTGTGTGTGGCAGCAACCTCACCCAGGCTGGCAGCAGGGAGCTCATTTGTTGACTCTGCTTTGTCTCTAGGCCGTGAGGGTATGACAAGAAGCACAGTGCAACAAATGTCTGCCCTCCTGGAGTTCAGGATCTGCTGGAGAGACAGCTCTGTTGGCACAGGTGTTTAGCCTAGTGAGGAAGACACCAACACCTTGCAGCACAGTGCCTAGGTTCAACTCCCAGCTCTGGTTCCTGAAAGCTGTCAAGGCCGTCCCTGGGGGGCAGTGATAATAGCTCAAGTAGTGGCATTCCTCCCATGTGGGAGGCATAGATTGAAATCGTGGCGCTGGCTCTTGGCCTAACTTAGGCATTCAGGGAGTGAGTTAAAAGTTGGGGCTTCTCTGTCTCTCTGCTTTTCAAATATATACATATGTTTATTTCTATTGGAAAGGCACGTCAGATTTATGGAGAGAAGGAAAGACAGATCTTTCATCCATTAGTTCACTCCCCAAATGGCTGCCGTAGCTGAACCTGAGGTGTTGGAGCCAGGAGCTCCATCCAGGTCTCCCACGTGGGTACAGGGGCACAAGGCTTTGGGCCATCCTCTACTGCTTTCCCAGCCCACTTCACTTCTCATCCTGCTCCCTGCTTGTGGCCTGAGGAAGCAGTAGAGGATGGCCCAAAGCCTTGAGACCCTGCACCCATATGAGAGACCCAAAGGAGGCTTCTGGTTCCTGGCTTTGTAATCAGCTCAGTTCCAGCCATTGCAGCCATTTAGGGAGCAAACCAGCAGATGGAGGATCTTTTATATATTTTCTTCTCTCTTTATATCTGTCTTTCCAAAAAAAAAAAAAAAGAAAAGAAAAAGAAAAAAAAGGAGCAGCTAGTATAGAAACCAGCTGCCACATGGGATCCTGGCACTTGCAAGCTTGCAAGGTTAAGATTTAGTCGTTGAACTATTGTGCCAAGCCACCTAATAATTTTAAAAACAAATAGGCATGGGCTAGGTGCAGTAGTCTAGCGATTAGAGTCCTTGTTTTGTACACGCCAGGCTTCCATATAGGTGCAAGTTCTAATCCCAGTGGCTCCACTTCCCATCCAGCTCCCTGCTTGTGGCCTGGGAAAGCAGTAAAGGATGGCCCAAGGCCTTGGGACTCTGCACTTGCATGGGAGACCCTGAGGGGTCTCCAGGCTCCTGGCTTCGGATCAACGCAGCTCTGGCCATTGTGGCCACATGGGTAATGAATCAACAGATGGAACATCTTCCTCTCTGTATCTTGACTTCCCAATAAAAATAAAATTAAAAAAATCTTTAAAAAAAATGGACGCATTGCCCAAGAGATGAAACAGCAGTAAATGCTAAAGAGGAAGAGTGGCTATAGTTATCATGGTTGGTCAGAGAAGGGTCTGGGAGGAGGGGAGGCAGCCATCTGGAGCAGCCAGTGTTCAGACTGGGGAGATTCCTGGGAGAAACAGCAGGGAGCAGCTGTGGTTAGGAGTATTGGGGGGTGAAGAACACATGACTGGGGGCCTTGCAAAGTCTCTGCCAGTGTGGATCCTGCAGGATCCGCCGATATGTCAGCCTAGGCAGGTGAGAGGAAGGAAGGGAGTCACAGCTGGACTCAGGAGCCTGGGGTCTGAGCTCTTGGAAGTGTCTCTAGTGGCTGTTCCATTCTTGGGTCCCAAGAGGCAGCAGGTTAAGGAGGATTATCACCCCAGCCCCGTGGCAGTCTGTACCTGATTACCACTACCACCTTGCCCCCAGGTTCTCCAAGCTCACTCTCTAAGACTGGGCTGGATTTGGGGGGGCATGGGAAGCTTGAGAAGGAGGGTAGGGACACAATGGCCAGGGTGAGGGTAAGGGCTATAGCCAGGACAGTGAATGGGACATTTGGTTGCCCAATCCTAGGCCCAGTTGGCTATTGGTCTAGGTAGGGGAGTTATGTGAGGAGTCGACTTCCATGTCTTTCCAACCCTGAGACACACACCCCCACCCCACCTCCAGCTCCCCACTAGGCCTGAGAGAGGAAAAGCACTGCCTCCCTTTTCACCATGAGCAACTGAGCCCTTCATGTCGACCACACAGCTGGGGATGGTGGCATCACAATTGCCATGGCAACAGCAGGCAGTCTGTGTCAGTAGGAGGAGGGTATGTGGACACCGAGTCTGTTTTTGCAGTTCCACCATTGCCACACAGCTTGTTAGGAATCTAAGCTGCCTCCACCACTCCCACAGAGGCCCAGAATTCTGAGGTTAGAACTGTCCCTCTCTGCTCCCCATCTAACATCTCCTGCCTTGTCCCTGACCTCAGGGCCATGTTAGTAATATGGCAGCAGAAACAGGAAGTCCTAGCTTTCTGTAGGAAGTTCGGGGAACCCTATCTTTCCACCCCCAAGCAGGAGGCACTTGACTCCTTGCCCTGCTGTCTGCTAGTAACAACTGTGGCCCAGTAGGAGTCAGAACGGGCACAGCTTGTCTAGAGCCCAGAGTGTAGGCCAGCTTCCCTCACCCCTCTTGCCCTCTCTGCCAGTACATGACTCCCTGCCAGCACCCCCCCCACAGGAGGGGGAGCCATCTCACTGACTTGTCTATACCTGGAGAGGCAAGACTGATGGGCATTCCAGCTCGTGTGTATATATATATATATATATGTTCCTGAAGAGCTTCCTCTTTTGAGTAAACTCACTCCCTCTTGTGTGCCAACACCCTGCAACAGACTCATACCATGGAAAATGTGGGTGGTTCTAAGTTCCTTGCGCCTAGTCGGGTCATTCATTTCTGAGCACCTTGGTTAAAATGGGGTTTGTGCCTGCATGTACACACATACACACACACCGCTCTGGGGAAGGCCCAACCAACAGCTTCAGCTGCAGTCTGAGTTCTTTGAGGGTCACTGGCTCTTTTCTCATGCATTCTCCACACAGAGCAGGAAGCTCAATGGTTGAATGCCTACATGTTCCTGGCATGGGTCCCACAGCAATTCTATCAGGATGATAGTGTTTCTCCCATTGCATAGATGAGGAAACTGAGGCACAGAGCCTGGTGTCACTTTGCAACTCCTTGCCCCACCCTCTACCAGGAGCCAGCATTGTCCTTGGGGCAGTCGTATGGGGATACAGACATCTGTGATAGGGGCAGGGTGGAGTCAGCAGCACCCTGTCCCTCCCCATCTCCACTGGCTGCTTTCTATCCCCTGTGGACTGCCTTGTATCCGGGTGGGAACCAGTGACTAAAAATACTCCCCATGTGTTTAGATCATTCTTGGAAAATAAACTTCCCCATGTTGGCTCCTGGTTTGCATAGTTGCCGGCCCTGCTTCCTGTGGTTCTGATCTGTGTGTTGGGAAGGGAGGAGCAGCCGGGTACACGATGGCCTGGGGTTGAGGGGGTGGCAGTGACACGTGAGCCCACACGTGAGTGCTCCTGTGCATGCAGAGACCACATGACAAATGGAATTCCTGGTGTGCCTGGATGAGAAGAGGTGGGCATGCAGTCATCAAGTCCCTGCTGGGGTAAAAGCAGGGCCTCATGCTCCGAGCCTTGATTTTTCTACCTGAAGTTGGGGTCAAGCTTGAGCTTCCCACCTAACTAGGCCAAGCTGTCCCCGGGCTCCTGTTGTGACCTCGGGAGGAAAGCCAAGCCTATCTGGGTGCGGCACTGCTCCTGCACCCCGAGTCACACACGTCCAAGCGGCTCTGTTTGTTTATCTGAGTGGGGACAAAGACACTACCTTTCCTCAGATGCAAAGTCTTGTCCCTGGCCCAGGGAGGGGCTTCCTCTGAAGGAGAGCAGTGGGACAGACCATCACAAGCCAGTTCCTTCCGCAGAGCCTAAGGCTCAGCTCACTGGCCACATCTCCTCAGGTTGTTCCAAGGGCCACCTACTGTAAGGCTGGGAGGGAGCCAGGGATGGGATTATGGGTAGGTTTAGGAACAAGGTTTAGTCTTTCAACACTGTGATTTCCTCTGGGCTAGTGAGTGAGGGATTAGGGAGAAAGCGTCTTATCTGGGACCTTTTTATCCAAGTCTCCTAGCCATAGAGTGGACACAGCAGGTCAGGGCGGACACTGCAGGCCCCAAAATGAGTTTACAAGGTACTGGCCAGGAGAAGGGTGCAGGTGCATCAGAGCCAGACCTCAGCATCACTGCCACCCAGGGCTGAATCTAGCTGAGCACGTAAGTGCCCTTGATCATTTAATTCACCTTTCTGAGCCTTGGTTTTCTCTGTGTGAAATGGACATGATGACAGCAGCATTTACCTTAATGGGGTGCTGTGGCTAAAGACCGACACACCTGGGCAAGAGGACATACTCAGTCATCTGTCCTTATTATCAAGACTTCCTATAAAAGGTAGGGACACTGGGTGAGGGCTGATTTCTGAGTGGCCATGACTCACTTCTGGGTAAAACAGCAGATGCATAATGGGTAGCAGGCTCTGGCCAAGACCAGGGAGAGATCCCCACACTCCCCAGAGGTTAGCGCTCTGCTTCCACACTCGGGGACATGTCCCCAACACTAGGACCTGCCCTATACAGATGAGCTCTCTGAGGCAGAATCTCCCAGCCGCACCTCTTCCTGCAGTTGCCCAGGGTAAGCCAGAGCATCAGAGGCACAAAGGGCTGGCTCTGCAGTCCTC